ACATCTTAAGTTGCCAGTCCTCCTTACAAGGGACCTTGCTCACTTTCCATTTTTGGGCTGTTGTAAACAAAAATTGCCCTTTTCCCTTATGGGGTATCCAAGAGCCCATATAGAGTCCTTACATAGGTTCCCTATTGGTAGGAGAGAATAACAGAGGCCAACCAGAGAATATTGAGAAGCAAAGCAGCTAGTAAGCTTGATCTTTATTGATCTGTTGCAACAGGGTGCTCCCCTCACCCGCAGAAGAGAGGAGGGACCCAGAAAAATGCCGTGCAAGGGCTTATAAAGACTTTTGAAATTCCCATCCTGTAGATCAAGAACATCCCCAGAAACATCATACATACATCACAGAAGGAGTGTAACCTAAGACCACCCCTCAGATACATCATACCTACATCACAGAAAAGGCGGTCTAAAACAGAAATTTTAATGTCGTTTTTCTCCTGTCATTGTTTATCTCCTGTCTGGCAGGTTACTTGATTGGATTGCCTGGGGAGCCTGGCCAGTCTTTTGTAATGATAAATACTTAGTTCCTGGGCCATGTCACAGGCTCACACCCTATTCAAACACAGACATACCCTTAAGACAGGATTTGTGAAGGAAAAGACAATGGGGAGGCTTTTCCATTTTGACCTTGCAGAGAAAACATTTGCTCAGTTTAGGAATCAAAATGGCTTCAGGTCGGTCTTCCTGTGCTGATCTATGTACATGCAGTTATGAACATTACCATATATCTAAGACCTCAAAATTCCTATCACAGGGCCAACGAAACACGGGCCGCTGTTGTTGCATACATAAATAAACTTTTCTGGCACCTAGGAATTTCTATCTGAGTTATTCACAACAAAAAGGACTCTGTTTTTTGGGGGGAAGGTAAAGTTAAACATTTTCTTCCAGCTCATTATAAATCATTTCCCAATATTCTTTCACCTTTCTGCACATCCACCACACATGAAAAAAGGTACCTCTCATTTCTTTACATTTCCAACATGTATCTGATTCTGCTTTATACATCTTAGCCAACCTAAATACCATCTATGAATCATTTTCAAATTGTTCTCTTTCAGAGACTAACACGCAGTAAATTTCAGATCACTTTCCCAAAGTTTCTCCCAGAGGTTTAGGTCTATATTGTGTCCTATATTGTGTGTCATTGATGGTTTAACCATCTCGTCTTTTGTTTCCCATTCTAATAAGAAATTATACATTCTAGACATACGTTTATCCTTATTTTGTAACAGTTCTTTGACTGATCCTCTTTAAACTGGGCTGTTTCCATGGTGAGGCAGCTGGGTCACATGCCAGCCACCAGAGGGAGAAGTAATCATTCATCACCAAGGCAAATGTTTCTCTTTTAGGAATACGCAGCATGTCCATCTTATTTTTTGAAATCTGTTTTTAAAATTTGCATACTGCTTCATTGTCAAATCCTCTAAGCCAGGCATGGACAAACTTGGCCCTCCAGATGTTTTGGGACTACAACTCCCACCATCCCTAGCTAACAGGACCAGTGGTCAGGGATGATGGGAATTGTAGTCCCAAAACATCTGGAGGGCCAAGTTTGGCCATGCCTGCTCTAAGCAGTTCAAATGGGAATAATGGTGACCTACCTCATGGGGTTGTAAGGAGGGAAGGTACAGTGACGACTGGACAAGATTTGCAAGCCGAAAGTGCTAACATTCACTTGAACAACTAATGTAAAAGTCAGCAGATATGGGCATATGCTTCATTTCTCCACCTTGAGTCATGAGGTTCTTAGCCAGGGGTTCCCAAACTAAGGACCGCAGGCTGGATAAGGCCTGAGGGACTCGTTTATCCAGCCCGCTGCCACCACCCACTCTTACCAGCGCTGCGCTGCACAGCTGTCCACTTCCGGGTCGGAGGAGCACCAGAAACAACTTGTGTGCATGTGCAAGCGTTGTGTGCATGCGCAAGCGTTATTTCTTGTGCACATCTGGGTCGGAGGAGGCCCGTGCATATGCGCACAAGCTATTTCCGGTGCTCCTCCGACCCCGAAGTGCGCCGGAAATAACGTGTGCGCACGCGTATGGGCACGCGCTCCCCCGCCCTCTGAACCACCGCGCAATCGGTGCTGGAGACACCAAGGCATAGTAAGTTTGCTGACCCCTGTTCTTAGCAATGCACCCTTGTTTTCACAAGCAATGCAAAGCTTTCACCCCCAGTTTGGGACACAGAAACTGCTATCTGGGATCAAAAAAAAACCTGAAATAAATAAATAGCCCAAAACAAATGACCTTTCCAAACTTCACATACCCTTTTGGCCGTATCCAAGTCCCAAGAATTCATAGCCAAGTTTATATATTTAAGGCCATTATAGCTTCAACTCTTGCTATTTCAACCACATGCACCATCTAGCGGACTGCCTTTGCTGATGAGCACAGGCTATGGAGCGAAAGAACTGCCAAAACTTGTACCTGCATTAATATGACTTAATGCACATGGTGCCAGATTTGCTAGTAAATTATGTCCATTATACATCTTTGGCTATTCCCGAAAGGCCTATAAAGCTGTTGTACCGATTAAAAACCCACCAAGCCATGCAAACCCCAAAAGGTTAAGTCAAAGTAGGGATCTGCCGAAAGGATCGAGTCTATAAAACCTCTTGCATCCAAGCTCAGGGACAATTTCCCATGCAATAGTCCAAACACTGAGCTGGATGCAAAGAGAACTCCAGTAGCAATTTGTTGCTTTTATGACGCCCACAAGCACCTACAGATGTGATCTCATGTAATGAAGCATGTGGCCCTAAGCTGGAATTATTTGCAAACAGCGGGATCTCCTGGCAGTGGAAGTGGCGCTTGCTGTGTTATGAAGGACCCCCCTCCCTTCCAAAACCATGCTTGGTTAACACCTATGCCCTGTTGAAGTTGGCACTGCTTATTTTCAATGGGAACAATGCCAAGCAAACAGATGGAAATGAATCTAGCCATGCCAAAGAGCGAGTGTGTTCATCAAATCCGAACATTAGGGACAAGTTCCCTTCCAGGAACGCAAACGTGGCAGACAGTGCAGAGGGCTTTGAAATAAATCTTGGGTTAAAAGAGCGTGTTATCCTTTTAAACCCAAGGAAACCCACGCTGAATTATCAGTTTGTTGTGGTGTTTAAAAAATAGCTTAATTATAGGTCTTATGTTATGAACCTTGTGGGTTAAATATTTGGGGTGGGGGACTCTGTGGAGACATGCTTCCTCAATATCAAAGGAGCAGGGATAAAGAGTCAGTTTTCTCCGTGTCTCTGCCCGGGCCCAATTCTCAGAAAACGCTGTGCCAGGGGTCTCAATACTTCCTTGCTGAAGGGAGTCCTGGTTCAAGGCCAGTGTCTTCCATCTGTCTATCTATCCCAATGAACTGAAAGCCTCCAGTATATATGCAAATGTGCATCTCTTAACAATGAGTTCTGCTTGCAGTAAATGACAGGCAGAGGCACATGAATTCCCCACCCCTCAAAATGGTTCATTTGTTACATTTTTATCCCACCCTTCCTTTTTATTCTTACAACAGTCCTGTGAGGTAGGTTTAGGCTGAGAGGTTAGGACTAATGATTTAAGCCCAGGTCTCCCTGTTTTGAGGGACGCGGGTGGCGCTGTGGGTTAAACCACAGAGCCTAGGACTTGCCAATCAGAAGGTCTGCGGTTCGAATCCCCGCAATGGGGTGAGCTCCTGTTGCTCGGTCCCTGCTCCTGCCAACCTAGCAGTTCGAAAGCACATCAAAGTGCAAGTAGATAAATAGGTACCGCTCCGGTGGGAAGGTAAACGGCATTTCCGTGCGCTGCTCTGGTTCGCCAGAAGCGGCTTAGTCATGCTGGCCACATGACCCGGAAGCTGTACGCCAGCTTCCTCGGCCAGTAAAGCGAGATGAGCGCCGCAACCCCAGAGTCGGTCACGACTGGACCTAATGGTCAGGGGTCCCTTTACCTTTACCTCCCTGTTTTAGTCAAGGATTCTACTCACTCTGCTATACATATTATGCTCCCACCCCCCATGCTATCCTTTAGGAAGGCCATACATTCACAAGCAAACAAAAATCCACTTGTTGAATTTGGGTGATTTTTATGGTTGTTAAGTTGTGCAATCTGAAGCTTGGGGGGGGGGGCAACAAGAGGACTCACCTGGTTTTACTGCTCACCCAGAGCCATGGCAGACTCATAGTGGTGGGGTAGAGGTGAGATCAGTTTCTGTTATCAAATCAGAAACTGGGACGACTTCTGTAAATCTGGGACTGTCTCTGGAAAATAGGGACACTTGGAGGGTGTGACAATGAAACAGTGAAGACCTAGGGTTTGTTCCCAAACACAAATTTGGATCATTAGAGTATGTTCTCTCTAGATAGACCCAAACATCTTGCTGGACAGTGCAACTGTTTGGATGCAGTGAGCAAAAGCTGTATTTTAAAAACAACTCCAGGCCTTCGCTGTTTTAATGTGGTTTTCAATTAACTTTATGTTCTCACTCTTTCAGAGTAATTTTAAGCTGAGATGCAAATAGTTTGGGTTTTTCCTGTGTCCGCTTAGCCAAAGCTTTATGTTTGCTGGTATATGATATGGTTTGGTTTCGTTCTTATTGTATTTTTAAAGTCCCATGATTTTGTTTTGAAAGCAGCCTAAACAATTTTACTGAGAGGCAGCCATATAAAGAAGAAAAAATATCCAAAAGAGGGCTATGCTGTTCTGATCTATTTTCCATGCACAGGTGCCATTGCATTCAAGCCTACATTCCCTCATTTGGATAATTTCCAGAGGGGTAGCTGGAATTACCCTCCTGCAGCAAAAGCGACAAAGGGCTTTGCATTGCATGAAAGATCAACAAATTTATTTATCATGGCAGAAGTGTTGGCGGACTGCAGACCACCATATCAGATGCATTTAGAGAGAGGTGCGCATAATGCCTAATAATGCACAACCATCACCTTATGTCACATGCAGCATGGAAATTAACCATTTTTCCGATCCTCCTAATAAGACTTTTGCACCTTTAATAGCTGCAGGCAAAGCAGTCAAGTCAGTACAGCATGAGACTTTTAAATCTCAGGGTCGTGGGTTCGAGCCCCACGTCGGGCAAAAGATTCCTGCACTGCAGCGGGTTGGATGAGATGTGACCCTCATGGTCCCTTCCAACTGTACAATTCTCTGTTTTCAGGGAGCATTCAACAGGTGGGACACTGGGGCTTCTCCCACCCACTTTCCTGGCAAAAAGAAAACAAAATTGCTGGCATAAAGAAAATAGCAATCTATGGCATTTTCTGCCTTTCATGCACACAAGCACCCCACCCTACAGTTATGGAAAGTGCTCGTCTTTCAAGAAGTTCTCACCATCCTCTCCATTACTATTATCAATATTCTGTTGGGAGCTGCCCAGAGTGGCTGGGGGAACCCAACCAGATAAATTTATTGTTGTTGTTGTTATTACATTGTTGTTGTTGTTTAGTCGTTTAGTTGTGTCCGACTCTTCGTGACCCCATGGACCAGAGCACGCCAGGCATTCCTGTCTTCCACTGCCTCCTGCAGTTTGGTCAGACTCATGTTTGTGGCTTCGAGAACACTGTCCAACCATCTCGTCCTCTGTCGTCCCCTTCTCCTTGTGCCCTCCATCTTTCCCAACATCAGGGTCTTTTCCAGGGAGTCTTCTCTTCTCATGAGGTGGCCAAAGTATTGGAGCCTCAGCTTCACGATCTGTCCTTCCAGTGAGCACTCAGGGCTGATTTCCTTCAGAATGGAGAGGCTTGATCTTCTTGCAGTCCATGGGACTCTCAAGAGTCTCCTCCAGCACCATAATTCAAAAGCATCAATTCTTCGGCGATCAGCCTTCTTGATGGTCCAGCTCTCACTTCCATACATTACTACTGGGAAAACCGTGGCTTTAACTATACGGACCTTTGTTGGCAAGGTGATGTCTCTGCTTTTTAAGATGCTGTCTAGGTTTGTCATTATTATTATTATTATTATTATTAAATTTATTATTATTATTATTACTATAGCATTATTACAGCATTATTATTATTATTACAGCATTATTATTATTACTATAGCATTATTATTACAGCAATATTATTATTATTATTATAGCATTATTATTACAGCATTATTATTATTATTATCATTATCATTTAAAAAGCGGGTTTTTCCTTGTCGATACAGCTAGCATTCTTTCCTCCTTTTATTCCTATCACAACATTATGGATTAAAGTCGCGACGGAAGCGACCTTAGGAACGTGTCACACGCCTCCTTTTTAATTCCTATTAAATTTCCCCTGCCCCCGCCCGCCCCTTCTCATCCGGGCGCTCCGCCCCTCCGGCGCCTGCGCGGAGAGCTCGCAGTCCCTTCGACCTCTACCGCTGCACCAGCTCAGCCGGAGGAGCCTCTGCTTGCCGCTGCCGGGTTCGAGGTAGGCCCCGGATCCCCTCCTTGTATCCGCCTCCATCGGGGAGCTCAGCCTTCCTCCCGCTCCCAGAGCGCTGCCGGCCGGACTCCTAAAACTCTCCTTTCTCCTCCCCTGCAGCGAGCCAGACGGCCCAGACCCGGGACCCCCCAGCCCGTTGCTCCACCGGCCCGCCCGCCCGCAGCCATGTTCGCCTGTGTCAAGCTCGCCGCCGGGTCCCCCGCCTTGGTGAGTTGGCAGCGGGGCCTGCGCATTGGTCAGAGTGGATCGCTTCCCCCTCTTGCCCTTGATTTTTTTTTCCTTTGCAAAAGGTCGGGGGCGTTGATGGGGTTTTTTTGGGGGGGGGGATCTGGACTCTGGGACAGAGGCAACCCCGGTTAAGTCATTCATTTGGAGGGCATGTCTTTTTGCAAAGAGTCATTCATTTGGAGGGCATGGCTTAATGGTGCTTTTTGCAAGGAGACTTTTGTCTCATGCCTCTCTCTCCTCTGCCCTCCATGCTGCTGCCTGGGCTTGCTTTCCACGTCTTATCAGCGTTTCATGCATAAGTTTAAGGACGATGAGGCCCTCCTTGCAAAATGCCCACCCCACCCCCCAAGTTGGCCCACTGCTGCAGAAAGAGGGTGGAAAAACTGGGTGACCTTAAAAGCGAGTAGGTTTTTCCAAGGGCAAGAACAGGCCGCAGCAGCCTCTCAGCCATTCATTCATAAGGCCTTTCCTCTTAATCTGTGCTTGGATTGCTAGGCCGCTAGGGTGAATTGACAGGTCGATCTGTCAATCGACAGATCAACGTATAATGTGGAGGAGGGGTGTTGCCGGATTCGCAGGGAACTGGTTTCCTGGTCTGGGGGTGCTTATCTGAGGGCGCTGGCTGGTCTTGGGGTGGTAGATTGCTTGGTTGCCCCACAAAATGAGTTAGGCTGAATTCGCCAGGCCTGTCTTTTAATGGTTCTTAGGATTAAAATATTAGAATTGCTTTTGCAGACCTGTAGGGTCGGGAGCGACCTGAAGGTCATTGAGCACAGCAGAGTTGCAGCACTTTTAGGCAATGTGTGCCAACATTACAAACGACAGTGTGCTACAGGAGCTCTGAGCTTTCTTAGTGGTACCTGTAGAATGAAGGCAAACAGGAATTATGTCCCGTGGGCTTGTTTTCTTGAGATTTTGTAGACAAGGGCAGATAGAAGGATTGTTGAAATAATAAAATCTCACCTGGAAACACTTTCCCCACTCTTAACCTGCCTCTGAAAGAAAGTTAGTTACCAAAGATTCAGCTGTCTCTGAAATCTTGCTGTTGGTTATGGCGTTAACACTTGATAGCATGGGAAGGAGAGAAATAGAGGAGATCCTTCAAGGTTAATTTGCTTAGAGTTCCAACTAGATCCTTATCTCAACAGCAAAAACACTTTAATACCGTATGGGAATACAAGGTTCTGATGAGCTGTGTTATCCAACCCACGTGTGCCAAAAGTGAAGGTCAGACTTCAAGAGCAGTTTTTTCTTAGTGGCATTGACTTTAGCAGTAGTCATTATAGTAAGCATGACTGGAGATCAAAATTGTGCCTTTGCAAGTCCTGATGAGCCATTGATGAGCTTCATGGAATAAGAATTTTCCTCGATGGATGGACTTACCGAACTGTGATTGTAAAGAGAACTAAATCCCAGGAATCCAAAAGCTGCTGGGATGTTGTGTAGTTATCGCTTTGAAGGCTATGGTTGCAGAGTTTTGTGAGAGTGTCCATTACTTTAACACACTTCTTCATCCTCCCCCTTTCTCAGATGCGCACTGGATCAAGAATTCTGTACAGACCAATTTCTGCAACGGTGTTGTCTAGGCCAGAAGCCAGGACTGCAGAGGTACCTTAAACAATTCTGTAGCTTCCTAAATGATCTGGTGAGCCCATGTGTTGTTGCCTTGTAATAGTAAAACTTGCAACAAAGTGTCAGATTTTAGTTTTTGACAAACACATGCTGCCTTGTGTTTAGTGTCTGAACTTGGAACAACACAGACCTGCAGCTGAGTACGGGTAGTAAAGTGTTTATTTGTACTCTGCTTCTGAAGGAGCGTCTCCTCCCCCAGACACTAAGGTCCTGCCCTGAGGGCCTTCTGGCAGTTCCCTCGCTGCAAGAAGCCAAGTTACAGGGAACCAGGCAGAGGGCCTTCTTGGTAGTGGCACCCGCCCTGTGGAACACCCTCCCACCAGATGTCAAAGAGAAAAACAACTATCAGACTTTTAGAAGACATCTGAAGGCAGCCCTGTTTAGGGAAGCTTTTAATGTTTGACAGACTATTGTATTTTAATATTTTGTTGGAAGCAGCCCGGAGTGGCTGAGGAAACCCAGCCAGACGGGCGAGGTATAAATATTATTATGATGATACCAAGGATCTTGAAGCTGCTTATATTTTGGTTTGTTTCTAAGTGGTCTCCAATCTAGGTACTGCTCAGAGTCAGAGTAGCTTAGGTTTTGCCCCACCCCCATATGCCTTGAAGCCATTTAGTGCAAAAAGCACAGTAGATTGCTTAAACCTCTCTTGCAGAATTTCAGTCTGGTAGGATTAATGCTTCCAGGGCTGTGGGATTGCGTCATGCTGTCAATGGTTCCAGATGGGCAGAAGTTGTTAGGGACATCAGAATCATAATTGCTTTGGGCACTTTCCCCCATGGTTCTTTAAAAAAAAAAAACCTAGGAAGAACCTAACACTTTCTAAATCTTTTCACTCAGCTGTCCAAAGAAATGTGTCTTAAAGCTCCCCTTTCCTTCCCTGCTGTAGAAGCTTGTGCCTTTCGTAGTACAAGTCTATAGCAAATGCTTGTGCCAAATGTAATCCAATTCTTCTTGTTTCTTTCAGGGCAACACAACTTTCCTTACTGGTGCTCAGAACACTGGCAGTCAGCTAGCACTAAGGGAGTTTCAAACTAGTGCTATCAGCAGGGACATTGACACGGCTGCCAAATTTATTGGTGCTGGTGCTGCCACAGTAGGAGTGGCTGGTTCCGGTGCTGGTATTGGAACAGTTTTCGGGAGTTTAATCATTGGCTATGCCAGGTAATGGTCCTTTATTTCTAACTTTCAGCATTATACTGAAAGGGGTTCAAGTTACAGCATTATTTTTTTCCAGGTTCAGGATACTGTAGCTTGTTCTGCTCACCCACATGGCACAGAGCCTGGCTGTGGCTCCCAGAGAAGGCTGGAAATAACTGTGCACGGCTTCTGCCAGCTCTGCATTTGTCTTCTCCCTGGGATTAAGGAGGAAAGCTCCTTAATACTGGGGACAGAATGGGTGTGGATGGAAGGAAGTTTGTCTGAAGGGCTGAGCACTTGCCCCAAGCGTAAGAAGGAGTAGCAAATTAGACCTGTCAGGAATTTGAAGACCTTGGGGCTTGTATAAAGTAACAAAGCATAACTCATTCTGTTTACTTACAGCATTTCTTAACTGCCGTAGAGCTGAAGTTAGAAAACTTTTGAAGTCGCTTAGAAGACTTTAAAAAACTTTTACAGTCATTAAACAAGCATAGAAACAGCAGCTATGCTTTTTATAGTTAAGTCGGAGCATAAGATGATCAGGATGTTGAAAATGTTGAGCTGAACAGAAAGATCTTTGCCGTGTGCAAAGATATTGTTGTTGCCAGGCAAGCCTTCTGAAGGGAGCAGTCTACAATTCAGGTATTGTTCATGGAAGGAAAGCCTTCTCTTATAATCAGCAAATTTTTTTCAGCAGGGGGCCAGTCCACTGTCCCTCAGACCTTGTGGAGGGCTGGACTGTATTTTGGAGGGGAGGAAAGAACGAATTCCTATGCCCCACAAGTAACCCAGAGATGCATTTTAAATAAAAAGACACATTCTACTCATGTAAAAACACACTGATTCCCGGACCATCCGTGGGCCAGATTGAGAAGGCGATTGGGCCGGCTCCCACCCCCGGGCCTTAGTTTGCCTACTCATGTCTTACAACTTACCTCTGATAGAGGTGGTGGTTGGGGCAGGACATCAGCCAGTTATCTCAACACGTGGGCAGCTTGATATGGGACGAGATATTTTCTGTATTGAGACCAAGGAACTGGCAGAGATGAAACTGTTAAATCCATTTGAAGCTTTTCTTTTTTTAAAAACACTTTTGCCTCATCTTGGTCCTTAACTAAATGTTTACAATTGAAACTATTCAACTGAAAGTGGGAGGTCTTTAAAATCTCTCCATAAAATGGATTATTGTTACTAGTGCTGATGGGGGAATGCATGCATTAGGGGAATTCTTTAATTTTCCAGTTCTAAACTTCTTAAATACTCTTCTGGATTGCATAACAACAGCATACTATGCCTGTGGCTTTGGCCAAGATAACAGATTCAAATTTAGGTAGAGACTGTTGGGAAACTGAGCAGGAGCCACACAATGTCACTAACAAGTTTGGTGGGTATAACTTTTCATGGGAAGAGGCAGCTGAAATTACTAACTCTTGTGGTAAGTCTTGTGTAGCCACAACCTCCCACTTTCTGAGTAGCTTTAGGGTGTTTTTTTTATATATTTTAAAATACACACAGCCTTTCATTTCAAATTATCAGACAGAATAGTACAAAACACATTTTAAAATTGCAATACAAAATAATACAAAGCCATAAAATTAATAAATACAAGCAGCTGGTATTAATGACCAACAAAGTCATGTGAAAATAAATTGAGTTTTAGTAAGCAGTGAAATTACATAATTGCTGGTGCTTGTCTTTGTTCAGAACAGGTAGAGGGGACTTTTGGCCCTCCATATGTTGGTGAACTACTGTTCCCATAGTCCCTGGCCACGCTTGCTAGGGCTGATGGGAGTTGTAGGTAGAACAATCTAAAGGTTTCCCCACTTCTTCCAGAGGAAATGTTAAGACTATGCACTTCACATGCTTACACCTGCCAAATAGCATTGCTTTCAGCAACAACCACATGGTTCTCAGCCTTTTCAGTCATTTGAGCTGCAGGTACTCGGCCAAGAAGTAATGCTGAAACTTGTGTAAATTATTGTTTAGTTGCTGTGTAATAAGCCTTGCACACACACTTTTTTATTAAACCCTTTGTGTAAGCAATTTGCTCCATAAGCTGGTAACTTTTTTTCCTCTGCATAGGTTATAATATTGGTGGATTTGTTGAAAAGACTTGCTTCAGAATAAATGCAAACATGACTTTCATCTTTTATTTCAGAAATCCTTCACTGAAGCAGCAGCTATTCTCATATGCTATTCTGGGATTTGCCCTGTCTGAAGCCATGGGTCTCTTCTGTCTGATGGTTGCTTTCTTGATCTTGTTTGCCATGTGAAGAGATCTGTGTGTAACATTGGCATTAATGAACTACAATGTGATTCTGTGAACCTGGGTTCGAAAAATGTTTATCATGGAATGTATGCTACTTCCAAAGCAGCTTAATTAAAGATGGTAACGAGTTTAAACTCTGCCTGTGTCATGTTTGTGTTTTGACTTCGTCATAAGTTTTCCCAAACACTGCAAGGTCTAAATTTATACCTTAGAAGGGGAAATCCAGATCAGGGAAATTGAGACAAACTCAGTGCAACAGTATTGTAAATCTTGACAGATCATATTAAACACCTGACTTCAGCTTTATCATGCAACGAACCTGGCTTCCACAATTATGTGTTGTGTTTTGTTATGGAACTTGCATATAGATAGATAGATTAGATAGATAGATAGATAGATAGATAGATATATGGATCTCCATAAAAGCAAGCTACCTGCAGTGCTTTAGCAAATGTAGATAACTTACCCTTAATTAATATAGCAGATCTTGGACCTTGTCCTTTTATATGTATTCCAGAGTATTCATGGACCTTACAATAAAATCGTCTACGTCAGTGAGAGGTTCAGTCCAAGGAAGTGAAGATAATAAGTAAAATACTTATTGTAACATTTTATGAATGTTCAGGAATGAGGAAGATCAGTAACCACTAACTTGTCTCTAAATAGAAGTCTCAGTACTGACTAGGACTTGAAGCTATCATTGAACATTATTAAAATTCTCACCAATGTAGTGAATGTTGCTGCAATCATAAGGATCGGTAGTTCAATGAGGGAATTTAAGCTGCTTTTCTTTGGTGCTGCATGACTTCTGTCAAATGCAAATCCAGGCTAAATAGGACCATCTGGAAAATTAAGATTCAGGTAGGTAGCCGTGTTGGTCTGATGCAGTCGAAATATATATAAAAAATTGTCCAGTAGCACCTTAGAGACCAACTAAGTTTGTTCTTGGTATAAGCTTCGTATCTGAAGAAGTGTGCATGCACACGAAAGCTTATACCAAGAACAAAACTCAGTTGGTCTCTAAGGTGCTACTGGACAATTTTTTTATATATTTGGAAAATTAAGGATGCTCAGTTTCTTTTCTTGGAATAGCTTGGCTTTTGTTGCTTTGCTGCTGTCTGGCCTGGAAATAACAAGGAAAAGCTGGAATTTATTCAGATAATCATTGAAAGGTACTGTCTTTCCTTGTGCAGTCCCCATACTCTAGAGACCCTGCTGCAGAAGGCAAAGAAACAGTGCTGAAAACACTTAATGTTTTCCAGGTTTACAGGTATAAGGATGTACTTGCCAGCGCCTTTTAATTATGCAGCTGCATTCAATAGGAAATTCATAATTAAGGATGCAAGCAGCACATCAAATTATAGTATGCAGTAGTTGGGATGGGGGGTTAGGCTAAATGTGAGCTGGTTCGAACACTGTCCATGTTGTTTAGAAAGCCCAGCACCTTCACCGCCTTGTCCTACTTGAAATACAGGAATAATGCTGATCTACAGGCTTACAGGGGACGCGGGTGGCGCTGTGGGTTAAACCACAGAGCCTAAGACTTGCCGATCAGAAGGTCGGTGGTTCGAATCCCCGCGACGGGGTGAGCTCCCGTTGTTTGGTCCCAGCTCTTGCCAACCTAGCAGTTCGAAAGCACGTCAAAATACAAGTAGATAAATAGGTACCGCTCCGGCGGAAAGGTAAACGGTGTTTCCGTGCGCTGCTCTGGTTCGCCAGAAGCGGCTTAGTCATGCTGGCCGGAAGCTGTATGCCGGCTCCCTCGGCCAATAAAGCAAGATGAGCGCCGCAACCCCAGAGTCAGTCACAAATGAACCTAATGGTCAGGGGTCCCTTTACCTGATAGGCTTATAGTAAAGATCACTTAAACATCAGGGAATGGAAGTAATAGCACTTAAATGCTTATAATGAAATTATTTTTTGAAAGGTGATTTCAGTCATTCTGGTGGTTTCTGTTGCTTTTACTGTTTTGTTTTTTTAAACTTCCACCTGCTACACAGTGCCTGCTGCCTCTTAAGTGTATGTGTGAAAGCTAGAACTCTCCCATTGCTAGTTAACAGCCCCAGGAGAGATATATGTATGTTTGTTTCCAGCCAAAGCCTCTCCCCATGTCATGAAAGACATTTTGGAACCATAGAATTGTAGAGCTGGAAGGAATCCCCCAAGCATCATCTAATCCAACCCCCTGCAATCTTGCTGAGACCTTGGAGAGCAGCTGCTTCTCAGGCAGAACTAGGCTAAGCTGGCCACTAGTTCCACTTGCACCACTTAGCTCAGTGAGTTGAGCAAGGGACTGTTAATCTCAGGGTGGTGGGTTCGAGCCCCATATTGATTCCTGCATTGTAGGGAGTTGGAATACCAGGGTTTGCCAAACCTGTCTCCAGCTGTTTGGGGACTACAACTCCCATCATCCCTGTGTGCTGGTCCTGCTAGCTAGGGATGATGGGAGTTGTAGTCCAAAACCAGCTGGAGACACAAGTTTGGGAAAGCCTGACTAGATGATCCTCTACAGTTCTAAGGCAGATTTCTATGGGGGAGGGGGGGAACGTGTCCTTTCCCTCTTGCAAGTACTAAGACCAGGCACACCCAAACTCAGCCCTCCAGCTGTTTTGGGACTACAATTCCCATCATCCCTGACCACCGGTCCTGTTAGCTAGGGATCATGGGAGTTGTAGTCCCAAAACACCAGGAGGTTTGGTCGAGTTTGGAGATGCCCAAGACCAAGAATCCCACGTCACGTGTACACTTGTAGAGACCAAAAGCCTCTTCATACACAACTCTGAGCGAGTAACTCTCCCTGCCTGCTGCTCAGACTCCGAGCCTCTCGCGCAGCCGCACGGAGAAGACGCGCGCGGCATGTGGGGTGGGGAGGGGGGGGGATGGCGAGCGAGAGGCTGACGAGCGCGCTCGGCTGTTTCCGGAACTTCGGTCAGCGGCCCCGCCCTCGCGGCGCCCAACAACCACGTGTCAACCCGCTTCGGGCGCCAGTGCGCGCGCGTGTGTCTTTTCTGCCCCTTCCTTCCACAGCCCACCCTCCCCTCCCCGCCAAAGCGCCTTGTCACGTGACTGGCTGCATCTTGGGGTAAGACGGCGGCGTGTTGGTGGCGGATGCGAGGGGAGGGGGTCCGGGCGGAAAGAGAGCGAGAAAGAAAGAGATGTGTCAGTGAGTTCCCGCGAGATGTGACGGAAGCCTGTGGGGGACACGGGCGGCTTTAATGAGCGGCTTTCCCGGCGGTCGTGAGGGGTGAGTTTTGTGTGTGTGGCCTTTTTTTGAGGCGGGGAGGGGATGGTGGTAAACAGAGGAGGTGGAGAAGCCGCTGCCTCTTTCTGTGTGTAATAGCTCGGGGTGTGGCCTTACCCGAGCCTGGGCTAGGGGTGGAAGTCGCCGGGCCCTGTTTTGAGGGGAGGTGGGGGGAGCCTGGCAGGCTGAAACATGGCGCCGCCGCTGCTCTGCATAGAGAGAGCGGGGTGGGTGGGAATTTTTTTTTTGCGCCCGTTGGCCATAGAACGCCGCGAGCTCTGGGAAGCCGTTGCTGGCCGCCACTAACTGTCACAGAACGGCGGGGGTGGGGGGAGTGGGCAAACCGAATTTGGCTCCTACCATTCGTTCTCTTCCCTCCTCCCCCCCCCCCCCGTTTCCCCATTGCCCTTGGTGCCGACCACTCCATCACCTCCCTGGAAGGAACGTTATAAAAGAGCCTGACACACACGCAGCGCCCGGTGTGTTGCTGGAACAGGTCACAGTGGAGGGGTTTTTTATGTGGGGGGTGGGCAGGGAAGCGCTTGCACTGCAGAGAGAAATGTACACACACACACACACAGGATAGTTCTCGCTGATGGAGGGTGCCCTGAGGCCTGGTCTTTCTGCCCACCCCCTTTGTTTTTCTCTTTTCTCTTTTTTCCTTTCCCCTCTCCCCACCCCCACTTCCTCTCAGTTGAGGAAGGGTGGATACTGAGGACACCTGCGAAATTTCTCCCAAGGACCACTGTCCTGTGGAAAGTTGGTGGGTGAAAGCACGCAATGCCCTCCAACGTTTCTCCGATGAATGTAGGGACGTCCTAAGGAAAAGCGGGACGTTCCAGGATCGCAGCAGAAACCAGGACAGCTTTTGTAAATCCAGGACTGTCCCTGGAAAATAGGGACACTTGGAGGGTCTGAAGCATACACAGCTGTCCCCATCCGTTTGCTGCAGGTAAATGAGTGCAAACAGTTACACTTAGTTTGGGGGGGGTAAAAAATACTCAGGCATGTGCATGTACCTATTTACCTGCTTAGGTTTTGTGCTCTCCAAAGCAAAGTTAAGGAGGGCAGAACTTCAGTAGCAACACATGGTGTGTTCAGGCCCAAATGCTGCTTTCCCTGAAGCTGCTGAAGTGTGTTGTGTTGTGTTGTGTTGTGTTGTGTTGTGTTAGAGAGAGATCACTCGGGCTGCTGGTAGGCTGCTACTAAGGTGACTGCTTGTTGTACCACAAATCTCAGTTATCAGACTGTTGTACCACAAATCTTAGTTATCAGGCTGTGTCTCATTCCACATTTTAGTTCCCTGATAGGTAGTGTTTGATAAAGTAGTAGTGGTAAGTTACGTTGTGGTTCTTCATAGTCTACTGATAAGAAGGCAAGGAAATTGGAGACGCCTCTTCTGTATTTGTTTATTTAAGGAATTTCCATCTCATCCTTCAGCCAAAGAACATTTGCTTCCTGTAGAGCAGTAAGAGAATGACATGCCTTGCCTTCTGACTTAGAATATGCAAAGCATCTGGTTTTTATTGTGTGAAGTTAGCATAATACAGCATATCTGAGTTGTTTAAAGTTTTACAACCTTGGTATCTCAGAACAAACTTCTTCTGTAAGTTGCTTCATTACCACTATGATGCGTTTTAAGTCAGGTGTATTTGTGTACATTCTTTTCCCCATTGCTCTTTATATAAAATAACTAATTCTGCCTCTCCTGTTAAACCTCTGAGGAATTTTCTTGGGTATATGATTCTGGAGTATAGGAATATCTTTATTGAATTGTAGAATTCTGTCTTCAGTTTTTCCATTAAGATAACCCACCTCCTTGTTCCCATTGGCTTGTGGTAGATGATTATGGGATGGGAGTTTTCTATAATTTCAAAGCTGCTTTTTTTAGTAGCAGCATAAACTAACTATGGAACGAACACACAGAACACATACACAATTATTTAGTGTTCTCTAAAGTGTAAGGTGATTGTTACGTTATAAAGCATGCTGATCATTCTGATTGGGTGGCCAAGATGCATTCTGTAGATATAGATAATTCTGTAAATCAAGAGAATCAGTAGATTCTCAAACTGGGATTGTTGACACAGAAGAGTGCGGATGTGTTTAAAGTTTCAGAGACACAGAGGATCCTGAGCCAAGCAGATTAATACATCCTAGCAGAATTCTGGAATTGCATTCACTGATGATGGACTCAGGGGCATCCTGATCAAATTTGCAGATGACACCAAACTGGGAGGGGTGACTAACACCCCAGAGGACAGGATCACACTTCAAAACGACCTTGACAGATTAGAGAACTGGGCAAAAACAAACAAGATGAATTTTAACAGGGAGAAATGTAAAGTATTGCACTTGGACAAAAAAAATGAGAGGCACAAGATGGGTGACACCTGGCTTGAGAGCAGTACATGTGAAAAGGATCTAGGAGTCTTGGTTGACCACAAACTTGACATGAGTTAACAGTGTGACGCGGCAGCTAAACAAGCCAATGCAATTCTGGGCTGCATCAACAGGAGTATAGCATCTAGATCAAGGGAAGTAATAGTGCCACTGTATTCTGCTCTGGTCAGACCTCACCTGGAGTACTGTGTCCAGTTCTGGGCACCACAGTTCAAGAAGGACACTGACAAACTGGAACGTGTCCAGAGGAGGGCAACCAAAATGGTCAAAGGCCTGGAAACGATGCCTTATGAGGAACGGCTAAGGGAGCTGGGCATGTTTAGCCTGGAGAAGAGGAGGTTAAGGGGTGATATGATAGCCATGTTCAAATATATAAAAGGATGTCACATAGAGGAGGGAGAAAGGTTGTTTTCTGCTGCTCCAGAGAAGCGGACACGGAGCAATGGATCCAAACTACAAGAAAGAAGATTCCACCTAAACATTAGGAAGAACTTCCTGACAGTAAGAGCTGTTCGACAGTGGAATTTGCTGCCAAGGAGTGTGGTGGAGTCTCCTTCTTTGGAGGTCTTTAAGCAGAGGCTTGACAACGATATGTCAGGAGTGCTCTGATGGTGTTTCCTGCTTGGCAGGGGGTTGGACTCGATGGCCCTTGTGGTCTCTTCCAACTCTATGATTCTATGTCTCTAGGGAAGAAGCAAGACAGCCTTGCATGAGATGATTGGGCTGATGGGGACAACATGTTTCAGGAAGCAGGTACTTTTGCGCAGCAGCAGGTTTGCATGTCACATAATTAAGGAAAATTTCTCCTTGTGTGTTTTTATGGGAACAAATACTTGGTGCTGGGCATGTTCATGGAAGTAGCAAGAGCAAGTTTAGAGGGATGTCTTGGCTTAAAAGGTTTTAGAAACCCTGCCAGAAACAAGCAGTTTATCATGGCAAGAGGTTTTGTAACTAATTGAATACAGTGGTACCTTGGGTTAAGAACTTATTTCATTCTGGAGGTCGGTTCTTAACCTGAAACTGTTCTTAACCTGAGGTACCACTTTAGCTAATGGGGCCTCCTGCTGCTGCTGCACCGCCACCGCGCAATTTCTGTTCTCATCCTGAAGCAAAGTTCTTAACCTGAGGTACTATTTCTGGGTTAGTGGAGTCTGTAACCTGAAGCGTCTGTAACCCGAGGTACCACTGTACTTTATCAAATGCATGTAGCACAATAACACCTGAAGTTGTTATAACTGTGGTCATATAAGCCACTAGAGGAACTTGCACACATTGTTGGTGCAGATGACATGGCAAACCTCAATTAATCAAAAGTAGAAGCAAGGGCTTCTGAAATCCTCCCAGTCATTTGGGAGGAGGATGGGGGAATGACTGTTGCTGAACAAAGTGACAGTCTGCCAAATTTTATCAAGAGGTTCAGTTCTATCACTTGTAGCATGAATTAGGGTGGCAGGTTTTTATTACACCTGTTGATTAACTTATCAATGCCACAACAGTGTTTGTGTTATCAACACTGCTTTGTGAATGGTCACTGTTAATAGCATAATTATTTCTGCCTTTGCTTTCCAATTTTCCTTACTGTTTACAATCTGGTCCCACCCTCAAATGTACATGTGGGTGTGCATAAAATAAATAATCAGGACAGTACTTCATGCATCAGAACAAGTGGACTCTATCCCATTAAAGCATATACCATAATATTTGTTTAAGTCCTCTGGGTGACACAGTACTCTTTGTTTTTGCTGCAGTAGACCAACATAGCTTCCTTGTGAAAACAATTAGTCTTAGCTAAGAGCACCGTTCCCCAACCTGGTGCCCTCTAGAAGTTGCTAGATTACAGTTTCTATAATCCTTGACTGTTGGTTATGGTGGCTGGGGGTGATGAGAGTTGTATACTCCAAAATATCTAGCACACCAAAGTGGGGGAGCCAGCATTAACAAAAGTATTGATACTTGGAAAACTGTATGTTAAGATATAAAGCTAAAGTTTATAACATTTGCTGAGCCTTGAAAGAGTTTTGCTTAAAAATTATGTGATAATCCACTTCATTGATTTTCAAACAATGTTCTGGGAGAACCTGAGGCTTAAAGAGCTTATTAGCAGTTTGTGAATGCGAAGAATGCTAAAGGCAAAAAAGTTTTGCTGAAAGGTGGCTTTGCAGCCACTACTCATACATCTCTTGCAATACCCAACCCCAAGAGAATGTTGTCTGTGTTTTAGGGTGTATGGTTCAGATGGGGTGACAGCAAGGCTCAAGAGCCCTAGGATTTTCAGAAATGTCCAGAGGTTCCCTAGTTAGACAAGTTGATGTAGAAAAAGTCCCTGAAGGCAGAAAACTTGAAAACCACTGACCTATTGCAGTTTGCAATTCCCCAGTTATTGTCAATATTCTAGTGTATCGGTAGATGAAAATACTTTCATATGCACTCCTTGTGTAGTAGTAAGAAACTGTTCAGAATGGCTTCCCTTAATTATGACATTTCTTTAGTAGTGTCTTTAGGAACGCACTTAAACTGAAAGCGAAATTTAATAACAGATGTATTTCTCAAAGTATCTTACCAGAAGTGGATATAAATATATAGTGTGTTTGTTGAAGAAGCAGTGATTTATAAATACAGAAATTTCCCTCCTTTCAGAGTATCTGAATAATTTGTATACTAGTGGCCAAAATTGTGGAAATCTTTTGGGGAAAGTATATTTTTGAGGTTTAATGGCTCATAACGCCACTTTTTTTTTTTTTTTTAGTAATACCATAAAATACCATCTGGACTTGAGGTGCCATTATTTGCCCTTCATGCAGTGAAATACCTTTTTGTTACCCAAGAAAATCTTTAATAAAAACCATTAGAAATAAAGAAATTAAAAGAGCAGGCTATGCATGGATTCTGCTCCTGTTATCTTCTCCTTGTTCACTAAAATATCACCTACCTCTGCTTTGAAAAGGTTTCTTTTGCAGTGCCTTTGTGTTTGCTTTTATGGTGGTCATTGTGCTGTTGCTTGGCTCAGGGGCACTATCCAGTGATGTGAAAGAAAGAGTTGTTCACTTGTACTAGCTAGCTTATAGTTTGCTTCTTAGCATTTCATTCTAAGCCATCCTCGGGTTTGCTTCTCTCCTGGAGTAGAGAAGTGAAGTGAGGACTTTTGAGCACTGTGCAGTAATATGTTGTTCATTAACATTAAATCATAATTTAAAATAAACTGTGGTTTAATATGATGTGCTAACTGGATAGCTAGTCATTTTACGTGTGGAAGGGGCTGTACTTTTTGTTCTTGTTCCTTTATCTTCTTTAAGAACACATGTCGGGGGGGAATTTAAGAACTCCTGAATGAGTTGCAACATGAGAACAACAGTTACTAACCCACTCTTAAATTGCCTTAATATCAGGATTTATAATATTATGTAGCAATTGGCTTTCACCAGTGCTGGAATAGAACTTGCCATTTTGCTGGAGAGCCTCTAATTGTTCTTTGTTAGAAAGTAACTTAACAGTTTCTTTATAGATCAATATTTCTTCTTAAAATAGTTTTTAAAAATCACTTTTACTGTGCTTATGCCTTTGGGGATTTCATGGCACATTTTAGACTTTGGACATTGGCTTTTTCAATAGCAGGCATGGATTACTAAAGCAGCTTGTTCTATCTTCAGGAGGATTTCTCTATCACACTATGTTGAACGTTCCATCAGCGCAAGCATTTCAGTTTGCAAGGCAGAATGATCCCCCTACCTTCCCACTGCAAACTGTTACAGGAGGTCTCCTAATCTGCCCCAAGCCAATTGTGGGGAACACACGTTTGGGGGAGGCCTCATCAGCAAGAGGAAGTCCTTATTCAGGGCTTCTGCTGACAGGACTTGTTAGGCGAATTCTGCCCATTGAAAGCACTACAGTTGATGCTGCATTGGTTAACCAAAGTCACAGATAGTGATTTGTATCCTGAGTATGACTTCTGCAAATGAAAGAGCTCCTATTAATAGCAGACTATAGATCCATTGAACAATCCTGTTGGTAGAAGGAAAATAGAATTTGGGAGAGTGTGTTGAACTGAAGTGGAAAAGGAAGGAAGGTGGTTCTGATGCACATGTGGAGGTGGCGGCGGAACATATGCCCGCACTGTCCAGGGCGGGTGCGCTCCCAAGGGGGCAAGGCACAGAGGGTGTCCTCCCAGGCACGAGATAGCTGCTCGGGTGCACGGAGCGGTGCACGCTCCCTGCAGCCAGGGGCAGAGCGAGCTGCCCATGGGGGCGGTGTGAGCCACCCATGGCAGATACGCGGTGCGCCCACTACTCCCAAGCCTCCCCCAGCTGTCAAAACAAAGGGGGAAGGAGGGAATGCCGCTCGCAAAATGGCACAGCTTCCCCTGATGGCTAGGGTAGTCTTGGGAGTCGCTGCTGAGCAACACCCATAATTCATTAGAATACTAGGCCTTTCCTTACACTGCTCAGTCCTCCTCCCCAATGAAGGCTTAATACAGTCAAGGGAAAAAGTGTGGCTGCTGTATTAAAAACTCAAGTTCGTTAGAGCTTAAATACTGATGAAAATTTTAATGCATTATATAACCAGGATAAAAATAGGTTTTTGTTCTGGTTATAAAAAGGGATTACTATAAAGTTTTTTTGGCTTGGCTTCCTTGTTGTCTTGGTCACCTTTATAAACTTCTTTTTATCATTATACCAAGGTTCAAATTGCACATGACATTGGCAGATCTGGATGTTTAAGCCATTTATCTCCCAACTATTCATCAAGTCCGTATTTAAGAGTATATGGAAGTATGTAGGTGAGAACTACATACTACCCAGCTGCTTACCTTCCTTTCCCTGCTTTTTCTGCCAGTTGGGCTTGCTACTTGGATAAGCAAAACAGACTTAGACATGCTAGCCTGCTGCTGTCACATGTACTGTAACTTGAGACAGATTTTACCTATCTCCCTTCTCTGTTTTGGTTCATCTGAAAAGAACAACTTTTCAGTGCTTCTACAAATACAGTGGTACCTCGCAAGACGAATGCCTCGCAAGATGGAAAACTCGCAAAACGAAAGGGTTTTTGGTTTTTTGAGTTGTTTCGCAAGACGATTTTCCCTATGGGCTTGCTTCGCAAGACGGAAACGTCTTGCAAGTTTGTTTCCTTTTTCTTAAAACCGTTAATACAGTTGCGGCTTGACTTCGAGGAGCAACTCATAGCCTTTTTTGAGGTTTTTGAAGACTTTGGTGATTTTTGAAGCTTTTCCAAAACTTTTCCGACACCGTGCTTCGCAAGACAAAAAAACTCGCGGAACGAATTAATTTTGTCTTGCGAGGCACCACTGTATGTACTGTAATTCTACAAATTAATAATTTTGCTATTGTATCAAGAACTGTTGGCTTCATGCATTTTATATGTCAAATCCAGATAAATACTGGCATTGTATAACTGATCTGCAAGGGATAGAATTGGATAACACCTTAATTTCTTAGGAACAGAGTGATACTCTGCGTCTGGATCAGGGGTCGCCAAACTACGGTCCGCAGGCCGCATATGGCCCAAGGGGGTCGTTAAACTGGTCCCCAGCCCTTGGCGTCCGCTCGGTCAGTCCCCATGCGGAGCTAAACCAGCGCGGAGCACCAGTTTAGCTTGTGTGGGGACTGACTTCCGGGATGTAGCCACGGCTTCCTATTGGCTGAAGGAAGCTCCTGCAGCCAACTGGAAGCTGCAGATAACAACGGCTCCCCTGCCATGGCTCCGAAAGCCAGTGGGGAAAGAGCGGGGTGTGCATGCGTACCGGTGTGCACGTTCCTGCGCATGGGCGATCCAGCCCGCTGGCGGAAAAGTTGGCTGACCCTTTCTCTGGATAGTGTTGGGATAGGAGATGAGATTGGATAGTTCAAATAGGAAGCTTGCTGAGACTTATCACTATCTTTAAGGATAAGTCCAGAGTATACATTTTATTCCCTATGAGTAGGTTTAACTTTCTCCAGGTTCATGTTTACGTGGACAAGCATAATGTGTAAACAAGGCTTTTATGGATTTTGCCATCAAAGGTTCTATGATTGCAAGCTGGAGGAAGTGCCATCATGATAATAGAATTTACTGCTTTCCATATTCACATTCATCTAGTTCATCATGTTTGCCCATATCCATCATACCCCAGGGATTGTCAAGAGTATTTACTGGGGCAGAATTATTTCATGAACCCACCTCTAGTCTAATCTACCTCATAATGTTGTTGGGAAAATAAATTCGGTAAGGACAATCTTTTTATTAGAGAATGTTTGATTCCAGAGTTAAGGTACAGGCACCCATGGAAATCGGGTGCATCCATTTCAACCATTTAAGGTATGGTAAAAAAGAGATAATTTAATAATTGATTTTCCCTTTTTGATTTGCAGAACCACTGTCATGAAAAGGAGGCTATAATAAATCGTTTACCTTATGAAATTTGGCTTACATGCGAAATCTGCCAGGTATATATATATGTGTGTGTGTGTGTGTGTGTGTGTGTGTGTGTGCATGTTTTAATACATTTATATTTTGTTTTACAACACAGCTTCTGTGAGCAAGTTCCAACATTGTGCCAGCAGACACAATGGTAGTTCCCCTTCCTTTCTTCCTTCCCCCACCTTTTTCAGAGGTTTCCCAACCCTCCATAGCAGATTTGGAGGGATGTGGGGGCTGTAGAGAGCAGGAGAAGTCTCATTTGTGCGAGTGGGCCACCACAGTTGGATATCTTATATTTTGCAGAAATGTTTCCCAGCTTGCCATGCAGAGGAATGTGTCAGATTCAGTTTCACATCTGCGAGACATAAATACCATAAACTATTTGGCTTTCATGGTATTCCTCACATGATTTTGGAAGCCTACCTTAAAAACTGTTAAAGTGTTTGTTGAAATACTGCTGCTTTTGAGACTTGGTCATAAAGAGACATTTTATAAGGGGGGGAATACCAGTACACACCGACTTTCTTCTTGCATTTGTGGAGGATGTTAGTTTGTTGACTTAGAGCAATTGCCCTGACTCACTGGATATGTTTGTTATTTCAATGTAGGTAATACAAGGACCTGTGGAATATGAGTGATGACAAACCCTTTTTATGTACTGCCCCTGGATGTGGACAGGTAATACATGTTAAAACTATCTGTGTTAGTTAACAGGGAAACATTTGTTAAATCGGAGGAAGTAGTTTACATTTCATTTTGAGTCCTAAGAACATTTTTACTCATTGCCTAAAGATCTGTAACAGTCAAACTCTGCATGCTTCTTTGCTGCACATGTTTAAATGGATGGCACTGTAAGCTCTGAAAGCCAACGTTGCTTATTTGGGATGGGCAGCAGAGAACTCTGTCACCACAGCCTCCAAATGAGCATTGTGTGGCAGTGTTACTGACTATACTGAACACCACACCCCAATCCAGCAATGAAAGCTGCATAGCTTCGAACACCACACATTAATAACTACTTTCATGAGAGCTCTTGATTCAAGGAGGGATCAGTGTGCAGAGGGTTGGATGAAGAGGGGATGACAACTTTTATATGATGTCAGCAACTTTTAGAATTGCTAAATGTTTTTTGTAGATGACAGAAAATACAGCTTGGCTATGGTATTTCAAAGAAAAATAGAATAATTGAAGAATTACCAAGATCCTCAAGGTTACCGAGTGATTTCTTGAGCTCTCTTTAATTATAAAAAAATAAGGCTTGTTGGTATTTTATCCTACTGGACTGTTATCTTCATTTCTATAAGGGGATTTCACCTCCCCTTTATTCCTGTTCTGTATGGGCTCTTCTACACAGCCTTTGAAAACCCCATTTTCCAAATCCGTTTTGTGCATTGTTTGTGCATCATAGCCTCTGTGGTTCTATACCGCTGCTGTTTATCAACTGATTTCATATTTCCCTGTATGAGGACCATGCATTCTGCTCATTTGTTTCTCAGATCTACTTTCATGTTGAAAACCCCACCCACAGAACCCATGTCATTAACATATAAAGTTGAGGACACTCCTTTCTGTCACTGTTTGCAGCAGAAATTAGGGGGAAACATGCACCCTACATTTTCTTTTTCAGTATTTCCATAACATCGTTTGATTACTGCTGCACTCTGACTAAACATCGTTGTTAGCAATGCATTTTAGTGATGCACATCTCTACCTCACCCTACTATCAGCACTTATACAGTATGAAGCCTTGTTTTCCCCAGAGCAGCTATAATGGATGTTTCATCTGCTTCTGAACTTTCCCTTCATGAGGCTTTGATGGGGCATGACAAGGACAGAATTTTGAGTTTTTTACAGTGCAATCCCACATGTGTCTATTCAGAAATACAACCCATTGAATTCAATAGGACAGACTCCCAGATAAATACATCCTAAATTCTTGTGAAAAGGATGTAAGGGAGGTGGAAAAAGAAGTGTGGTTTGTTCCAGCCCAAAGCCAGGAGTAGGGGAGAGAAAGAGAGAAAATACAGTCATACCTTGTGTTATTAACACTGTGGGTTGCGCATTTTCGGGTTGCGGACCGGGCCAAACCTGGAAGTACCGGAATGGGTTACTTCCGGGTTTCAGCACATGCGCAGAAGCACAAAATGACGTTATGCGCAGAAGCATCATACACATGCGAAGACGCGGCACTTCAGACTGCGAACGGTGCAGGTTGCGAACGTGCCTCCCACACGTATCATGTTCGCAACCTGAGGTATGACTGTACGTTCAGTGCTCCAATCCAGCTTTCACTCCCTTGCGAAAGCTGAGATCCGAGCATCACTTACATGGAAGTAGGCCCCACTGAATTCAGTAGGACTTAGTACTAAGTACCGTATTTTTCACCCTATAGGACGTACTTTTTCCCCTCCAAAAATGAAGGGGAAATGTGTGTGCGTCCTATGGGGCGAATGCAGGCTTTCGCTGAAGCCTGGAGAGCGAGAGGGGTCGGTGCGCACCGACCCCTCTCGCTCTCCAGGCTTCAGGAAGCTATCTGCAAGCCGTGGGAGAGCTGCATGACTTCGCGCGGCTCTCCCACGGCTTGGGGAGAGGTGCCTGCACCCGAAGCCTGGGGGCGCGCTGAGCTCAGCGCCCCCCCCCAGGCTTCGGGCTTAGCGCAGCTTTCTGCTAGCCGTGGGAGAGCTGCACAACTTCGCTAGTGGATAGCAGCCTGTTCTGGGGGCTGGTATCGGGGGAAGCTCGGGCTTCCCCCACCCCAGCCCCGCACCTGGGGGGGGGGGATTTTTTTCTTTATTTCCCCCCCAAAAAACTAGGTGCGTCCTATGGGCCGGTGCGCCCTATGGGGCGAAAAATACGGTAGATGTGTGTTTGCCCACAAATAGCTTTGGGGAAAGGGGTTTTTGTGGGTGGCTGTGCTACTCTACTGCAAGTTTGTTCTCCAAGAAGAGCCATAAGAAAGTTGAGAGGAGATGGTGGATTATTGTTGCAGTCCAGTTTTTGCTCCCCTTGCTATGGCTGGAACCATTTACCTGGGAGTAAGTTCCATTGGACACACTTTGAAGCAATGAGTGAAGCAAGGAGAGCTCTTGCAAGTTGGACAAGTAGGGAGTGAGGATAGGGCTTTGGGTTTGGTGTGCTAACAATGCAGTCAGGCACTCCTACTCATATTGAGTGCAAAGGAGTTCCCTCCCAGGTAAATCCACCTGTAAAGGATAGAACGTTGCACCCCGAAATGGGCAGAAGCAGAAGAAAAACGAGACAGGGAGGGGCAAAGTCTATGTGACGTGGTTGTGGGCACAGCAAGGAAATCTGAGACAAGGCAAGAAACGGTATATGCCTAATGTGCTTCATGGGCATATTATATTGGCATGTGATGAAAAACTGTTTGTGATACTCTCAGATAGGGAAAAAAAGCAAGTTTTTGCTGCAGGACATCCAAAATGTGAACAGGAGAGGGGGAACATCATGTGGTTCATGCCCCAAAAAGGCAGAAACAGGCAAGTTAAAACCAAGTTTTGAGGACATGCAGATGAGCCCAGTGCATAAAAACATTTTCCTTGTTCCTTGTAATGGAATGGCTGTTACAGTGGTAGAATCTATTTTGGGTATAATCAGCTTCAACAGCAAATTAAATGTAGTTTCTTTGATTTTGAAAAAAAGCAACTTCTTAACCTTTAGACTGATTTAGCTACTTCTTTCTGCATTTGAAACTTCTCTCTCAGCCCTGAAGTCACTTTAGAACAACATCAGCATGGTTCTTAAGGCTGTTTGTAGTAGCAGTTCTGCAATGTGTTTTCCACTGAGTTCTGTGTTTAAAACTGATTTGATTAAATATCAATGTTACACAGAGAGAGAGAGTAAACTTATCGTTGTGATGCTCAGCTGGCTACCACGAGCAGTAACCATGGTTTGTTCCTGTTTATTTATTTGTTAAAATATTTATGTATCATAAAACTGTATCACAGTGGTTTACCACTTGCAGTTTGTGTGAAGGAAACAAACCACAAGCTCAGATTGGGACAACATGACAAGCCATGACTGTTTCATCCACAGTGGCAGCAGGAGCAGGAGAGTAGCACACATCAGTTTGTTTTTAAACTATGGTTTAATGTGACATGCAAAATAGACAATCACAGCCAATAGGGCTGTTGTACTTGTGGTCTGCATTAAGCCCTTTGACAGCAGAGAAAGGTTTCTGGCCATGCCAAGTCAAGTCCATTGCAAGAATAATACAGGTCAGTGCTAGATTTAAAACAGATCAGCCAGTTCGTGAAAAGGGTGTAGGGTGAAGTTCAGCAGCACTCATGGCCAGCTATACTGATGGAGCCTTAGCCAATACATTGTAATGTAGTAGCTTAGGAGCAATTAATAGTCAATGTTTTAAAATTGGGTACACTAGTTTCACCTTTGTAAATCATTCTTTTTCTGGACTATTAACAAGTGTGAGAAAAGAGTAGGTATGTCAGGAAAAAAAACATTCAGAAATGATCAGTTATTTCTGCGTGTTTTCTTTGTTTGAGTCTTGCAGGCTACTCTCCTCCCCCCCCCCCCAGCGTTTCATTTTTGGGAAACAGCAATTTTATATTCTGAAAAATACAGTGGCAGCACTGCTGTATTATGTATAATCTCCAGCTTCCAGCGGGGCGTGCACCTGCATTTACACTTGAATTTTTTAAAAGTTTGTTTCTCAGAAGCTGCACTAAAGAAACCCCAAAGTGTCTGTTAAGCTTTGGCAAGTACAAAAATAGGCTTGGGAGTTTGGCATAAGAGATTTTAAAGAGAAGGCATATTCCCCCCTCTCTAGCATTCCCTTGAATAATGTTCTGCCATTAATTGAGTCACTTTGTATACAGACAATCCCATTGTGAGTCTGCCTGAGCAACTACAGTATTGATATTATTATTCAGCTGCTCATCAAAACAAGGTTATAGTGGAATGAAACCTTTGTCAAAAGTTGGTATTGACCTCTTAAGTATTTATGCTGGTGCTATTTAAATGTTGAGGATATCTTGCAGTTTATTTTTTTTAAAAAAAAAAACAACCTTTTTGTCCAATGAAGCTTACTTTTATCATTTTCCTACTGTACCATCCAGACTTTCATTTTTTTAAAAAAAAAATCAGCTGTTAACGTCTTGCTAATGGCTTTTAACCTGTTATGAAAATGATTTTCCATGTTGTTATCACTTTAGTTGAAATTAAAATTTATAACTATATTTTAAAACTTTTTGCCACAGCGTTTTACCAACGAGGATCATTTGGCTGTCCATAAACATAAACATGAGATGACACTGAAATTTGGTCCAGCTCGTAATGACAGTGTCATTGTAGCTGGTTAGTATATGTTTCTATTAATCCATCTTTCTTTTGGAATGTGCACACATTTTGTGTATTTTCTGTATATGACTCAAAATCTCTAGGCTCATCAGAAGCAACATCAAAAGATTCCTTATGAAATGAATTTGTAAACTGTGTTGTCCTTTACTTTACTTTACTTTACTTTACTTTACTTTTATAAAATTAATCTTGGCTTTTACTATTAAGTAATGAGCAGTCCAATTAAACTGAAATTCTATTTGTAAGGGTTGTCACAGCAAATCATACCTGGCAATTAGAGTAAGGCACTGATGATAGAAAATACTTACATGCACCATCCTAGTTAAATCAATGTCATATATTTGTAAATGTTTATTGGATAAATATTTATCGGTCATTTTGCTTCTCCGTATAAATTTAGCTATAGCATAAAATATTTTTGATCTCAAAAGCAGTTGGTCAAAGTATATACCCTCTGATCTTTCAATTTCTTTTGCAGTTCCTTCCTCTCTGGTGATCTTTTCATCTCAACCCCCTCTTTTAAAAAATTCTGGCTGGATAGCAAATAAAGATAACGTTTTGTTAAACATAAAGAATGAAGAGGAGGGTCTGAAAGCAACCCTTGCTTGACTCTAGGGAATTACATTTTAAGGATTAGCCTATTAAAAGTGCATGCTAATAACATTTACCCACTACTTTTTCCTGAAACAATGGTTCTTCACCAGAAGTAATTACCAGTTTAGTAATGGGTTGCATCCAAAAGTGCCTTACATGAGCAGAAAGACACATGTACTCACAAGGCTCTATACAAGTTTTGCCAATTCTCCCTTGTTACTAGACACATAGAATTCTTCTTGCTCTTCTCTGGACCCAAGGCATTGATTTTTCATGGAAGCCAACACCTGATAGGCAGATACTGTGAATTGCAATAAAGTACATTGTACACTTTTCTACTGTATTGGCTACAGTGGAGTTGTGTGTAGTATTGATCCTTTGCAGGCAATGTAAGTACTATATGAAAAGTATCAGGTCACTACTCTGTGAATAATACGTATCTTGATTTCTGTACACATCTTTAATCTTTATATGTTGCATAAAGCACAAGCAACAGAATGCCATGATTTCCTCAGTATTTTTCCCCTTTATCTTTAAATTTCAGCCATTATGTAGTGATCACTATTATTCCTTTGTTAATCCCACAATGCAAGTTTATTGTGTGTTGGGATAGTATTTTATTGTCTATTAGTTAAACAATTATGGTTGAAATTAAAGTTCATTCTCATTAGAATGTTTTGCTCTGGTTGCAATCATCTTCTCACTTGCTTTAGAATAAGTGCTGTTTAGATGAATGGAAATTATTCCTTGGCAAATGGGTGAAGAATCGCAGCCAAGGTGCAATACTGTTTTGTTTTGTTTTGTTTTGTTTTGTTTTGTTTTGTTTTGTTTTGTTTTGTTTTTAAAGTTAAAGTAATCCTTATGCTTAATTATTTTTTTAGCTCCAGCTGTTTTATTCATAAACTAAAGATTAAGAGATAATTTTCAAGCTTAAATGCTACCGATTTAAATTGTTCCCCGATTTCTTCTGTATATTCAGGGAGGCAGGCACATCCCTACAGCTGTATGCCATTTTAAAACACCTTAATCTAGACTTTTCAATGCATTATCATACTCTTCCCCCCCCCCCAGCTGTCCACAGGCAGGCTGATTAAGAACAGGAAAAACATACATTCAGCCATAGCAGCAACAAAAATTCAAGGAATATCTCTCTTTTAAAATATGTGATTTCTTGTTGCCCAGTTTGTAAGGTTTCTAAGACTTTTGCAAACCAAACACACATAGAATTTGCATTGTTTCGCCTTCTGATTGTGTTGTGTGTATTGGTGATACAGTACTGGTTTTAAAAGGAAAGATTTGGCAAAAAGGCAGCATTGTTTTTCATTAAAGGATACATTAACAGTGAAACCTTTAATTATACTGCACTCCTGGTCAGGATCAGTTGCAAATTTTAGAGAGCTTGAAACATAGAAATTGACATCAATTTGAAAATATGTATAAAAGCCAATAAATAATTGGGAAAATCATATATATATATATATTTAAATTTTAGATCAGACTCCAACGCCAACTCGATTCCTGAAGAATTGTGAAGAAGTTGGTTTATTCAATGAGCTTGCAAGTCCTTTTGAAAATGAATTCAAAAAAGCTTCTGAAGATGACATTAAAAAAGTATGTTTATAAAGATGATCAGAGCTAAATCACTGTGTAGACTACCAATTGTTTGGGTTCCCTTCACCACTAGGACTCTTTCACCGGTAGAAAAAATGTCATTCTTGTTAATCCTTATATTTTAGAAATATATAGAAACCACACTTGGAGGAAGTATTCTGTGAAGTAACCTTTCTGTCAATCTGTCCTGACAAGTCAATCACATTAAAAAAAAACCACAACTCTATAATGTGAACAAGTGTCATGCTGATGCATGCTTCTCAATTGTGCCAGCTTTGCTCTTTTCCTGTTTATGACTTTCCCATGTGGGAGGCAACAAACCACAGTACTGGATTAGTATTGTGTGTGGACCAGCGCTCATGGTTTATTTCTACAAACACAAGCTCTAAACTAAGTACACACCTTTACACATAATGCTAAGCCAATGTTTCCTCCCAGCTGGTGGAAGACAGGAGGAGGAAAGCAGGCACTATGGTTAAACTATGGTTTAACATGATGTGCAAACTAGACTGTACTCTCATATATGGGGTGCTAGGAATAATTCCAAATGACATCAAAATACTTACTGTCATTTATTGCTACTTTGCTTGAAAAAGGAAATAAAAGTATAAAAGTGTCCTAACTGGCATCTGCTTTGTGTTGTTTGCCAGGGATGAACTCCTCTTGCTTGTAACGTGAGTAATATTTTTTTAACGAGGGAAAGTGTGGCAGAATGTAATTTCCTTTCATTAGCTATTACTGCCAACACTGTCTAAAAAGAGATGACAATAATGCTGGCCAGGATATTAGCATCACTGTAAATTGCCTACTCTTTGAAGAGAGTCCTGCTCAGATTTTAAAATGCATCTACCTGATAATTCTTCTAGATGCCTCTAGATTTATCGCCTCTCGCAACACCAATTATACGAAATAAGATTGAAGAGCCTTCTGTTGTTGAGACAACTCACCAGGATAGTCCTTTACCTCATCCAGAGTCCACTACCAGTGACGAAAAGGTAGTAATTTCTCATGATTTAGAAGCGTGGTCTGTACCAGTAAGTTCAAGAAACTTAAGAGCTTCAAACATTTTTGCTCATCCTGTGTCCCCCTCTCCACCTGTGTTA